GAAGAGGTTTGGCCAGGGCCAGGGCTAACCATCTCCAAATATTTGAAGGACTGTCCTAGAAACGCCAGGCCAGCTTCTCAGGGAAATACCTGGACCAGTGGGTGAAACTTAGTGGAGGGGAATTTTGTCTGAATAGAGGAGTTGCCAAATGATGGTGGGGCTTAATTCGAGAGGTAGTGAGCTGCCTGGTCACCAGAGGTACCTGGGATGCTTGAAGCAAAGCCCTGCCTTAGGGAGGTTGGGCCATTCTACCTGCAAGGTCTCTTGACTCTCGCTTTGATACTGTTCAGTTTTGTTCAACCTTTATTGAGCATCCACTTGTGTGCCTGCCTTGGGCTGGGTGCTTGGGGTGAAAGAGACATGATTCCAGCCTTCAGGGGGCTTCCAGCCCAGTGGGGAAGGGAGGCTCTCCTAGGCCTGAGGATCCTGGGAGCATGCACAGCAGAAAGGGGCTGGCTACTAAGTGAGGGAAGAGCAGGTGTGAGGGGTTCAGGCTGGAGGGACCCCAGCTTGCTGGTCTCTGAGACAGCCAGTCCCCCAAAGGCCTGCTTCCTATGGAACAGAATACCCTGTTCAGAGAAGGCCTCCATCCAGGGGTCCTTGGGGCCGGTCCTCAGGGCGGGTCCCCCTCCATCTAAGGGGACTGTCCTTCATAAACCACATCCACTTCTTCCAAGGTGGTAACACTATGGAGTAAGAATCCCCGCTGAAGGAGGGCCAGCTGGACCTCCTGTCTGCTGCGCTTTTAACTCAGAGGCCCCTTTGCCTTCTGGCACAAGCCCAGAGACCAGGGGCCCAGGAAAGCCTGCCTCATGAGGACTACAGGTGTGGCTCCGTACTTGCCTCCAGGTACTGGCCTCCCTTACAGTCATTAGCACCCAGGGGCCCTGTTCTCAGCGGTGATGAGAGGTTGGCAATGATATTGTCATGACAATAAATAGCACCCCAGCTTGCATCTGCTTATCCCACCGAGTCCCCCACCTAGCCACCCCTGAATCCAGTCTCCTGTCTCAGGACCTACTTCTTCCTCATGACTGACACCTCCGATGGCCTCTGCCCCACACCATTAGCATCTCCTGGGTAGCTTGTTGAGAATACACCTGTCTAGGTCCAAACCCCAGAGGCTCTGACCCTATGAATCTGAGGTGGGGCCTGGATATTTGATTTAAAAAAATTTTTTTTAAATGTTTATTTATTTTTGAGAGTGAGAGACAGAGTGCGAGTGGGGAAGGGGCAGAGAGAGAGAGAGAAAGAGGAAGACACAGAGTCTGAAGCAGGCTCTAGGCTCTGAGCTGTCAGCGCAGAGCCCGACATGGGGCTCAAACTCATGGACCGCGAGGTCATGACCTGAGCCGAAGTCGGTCGCCAAACTGACTAAGCCACCCAGGTGCCCCGGATATTTGATTTTTTAACCCCCAAGTGATTTGGGTGTGTGTCCAGGGTTCAGTTCCCCCGTTCAGTGGAGCCCGTGATGTGTGTGGATGGTGCCCTGGAGCTCGTTCTTGAGCGAGCAAGGCTATTCCTCTACCCTTCCTAGGGGAGATCTAGATGAGCTTGGATGAAGCCCCAGGCAGTGGTGTGTGTATGCAGAGTGGGGGAGGGGAGAGGGCAGTGCCTGCAGCTTCTCATCTGGGGGTCGGCGGTGTGGAGGTAGAGTGGGGATTGGCCTGGCTCTGCCATCAGGCCTGTAAACCAGGGGAGAAAAGTACGGCTAGGGGGCCACAGATGCCAGTGCCAGGGTGGTGCCCAAGGATTGCTCCCCAAAAGTGGCTGAGGGGGCAGGGCAGAGGTGCTTCCAGGAGCCGGGGCTCCCCTCCAGCTTGCCCAGGAGGCCTTTCCCCTGACCCACCTACCTCTCATTCTTCAAAGCACGGCACATACACCTGGACACTGTGATTTACAGTAAGAAGCACACATTTGCTCTTTGTCCTGGTTTCTGGCACAGAGCTTCCTAAAACCCTTGGAATTTCCTAAGTGATAAGAGCGATAAAAGGTGTCCTGATACGCAGAAGAAATCCTTTCAACCACACCTGAGTTTAAGTTAATGAAGTTTGGAAAACACCTAAGAATGGCGGCCGGCTGCCAGCCACGTGATTAGAAGGTTGGAACTTTCCACCCCACCTCTGACCTCCAGGGAGAAGAGAGGGGCTGGAGATTGAGTTCAGCTACCCGCAGGCGATAAGTCTGTCAATCAGGCCTGTGTCTTGAGGCCTCCGTAAATGCCCAAAGGGACGGGGTTCGAGAGCTTCTGGGTTGGTGAACACCCGCAGGCGCGGGCGCAGGATGGATAGCCAGCCCGGGCAGGGTGCAGAAGCTTCCAGCCCCTTCCCATGCACCTGCCTAGGCGGCTCTTCCATGAGTTACAGCCTTTTGTAATAAACAGGTGATCTACTGAGTTAACTGGCTTCCTAAGTTCTGTGAGCCACTCGAGCAAGTTAATCGAACCCAAGGAACCTCTGATAATAGCCTGTCGGTCAGACGCACAGGTGGCAACCTGCATTTGACCCTGGTGTTTGGAGTGGGGGGCAGCCAGTCTTGTGGGACTGAGCCCCCGGCCTGTGGGTTCTGATGCTTCCTCCAGGTCCATGGTGTCAGAACTGAGTTTATTGCTTGGTGGCATGGAAGAAAAGGCACACGGGAACCTGCGTCAGAATTGTACTGTCTTTTCCACTCAGCACACCAGGTGTGGCTCCCACAGCCCAGCTGATAACCCACGGGGGTTCGCTCCGCTCCGGGGGTGAACTGAAACTGGTGTCAGGTCTAGCATTCTCCAGTTAGGCTGGTGTCACCCCTTCCCTGGCTTCCTTCCACCACACCACTCCCCCCCCCCCCCCCCCCCCCCCCCCCCCCCCAGCTCTGGCCCAGAGCATGTTTAGCAGGTGCTTTCTGATGGTCTAGTCACCAGGCCTTAGTTTCCTCTCTAGGCTTCTGTTCTCACTGTGCCGAATGAGTGTGTCAGACTAGAACGATCTCTTTTAGAACAACCAATGTAAGATGATAAAGTCTCATGTTAGCCTGGGATTCTCTTATCACACCTCTGGTCTGGAGAACTTCCTACCCGTGCTTCAGGCCCAGGAGAAATGTCACGTCCTCTATCAAGCCTTTCAGAGCTTCCCAAGCAAAATGAGCTATTCCCATTCTGTGCTATCATGGGGCTTTACACGCAGCTCTGCTCCAGCCCGTGGCCAGCAGGCACTGGCTGTTTGGGAATCTGGGACCCCTGGAGGCTCTGAATTCTTTGAGAGCAGGGGACTCTGGATGGGACAATCACAGTATCTCACAGTGCCTGGCCCAGAGTGGTCAAATGAATGGAGTAAAAACTGCATCCCTCCGTTCTTCAAGTTCATTCACTTAGCCATCTGCAAGCAGAGTGGTCCAGGTAAAGAGGAAGGGAACGAGGCCTCCATGGTATCCAGAAAGCAGCTCTGGGTGCCCAGTTATCCTAGTTCCGGTCCCATAGCTGAGGTAGGGCAATGGTGGGCACACCCAGCGGGAGTTTAGCCACCAGGCGGGTCCTGTTCTCCAGGGCATCCTGCATTTGGTCCTCTGCTGTACTGAGGGGGCAGGGCGGGGAAAGCAAGGACGGGGCCGAGGGTTGAGGTTTGGGCAGAAGGACCCTAATGAGCAAAGTTCTTCCAGAGCCAATTCAACTAGCACCTAGAAAGCTAGGTGTGCCCTGGACTCCTGGGACCCTGGGGGAAGGGGCCAGATTAGGCTCCTCCCGCCCAGAGAGGCTGTGCCTGGGACTAATTGGCTTGCCCTCCTTCCGCTGCTGGAGAAAGTCTTGGCTAATTTGCCGGAACGCTCTAGTTTAATGCCAATTAGGACGTTCTGTCCACTGCTCTCTTGCAATATATTAATAATGTAATTAAGCACTTATTGCCTGCACAAATTAAAAATTAACTTAAACGGACAGCCTGGAAAACTGAGGAAGTGACCACTTAAACAACCAATTTGCATCTCATTCGAGAATCAGCGTCTAAACACAGTCTAGGGTGCTGGGTTTGGCCTTCTAGTGAGAGGCCCAGCCAGCTGCCAACAGCTGCCGGCTGCTTCTCCACGCCCAATTCCGCCAGGTTCCTGCTGGCCTCCCCACCCTGCCCCGAATCCTAGGTATGGAGGATGGGGCTTCCCCCGACATGAGCAGGAGGGCTTTCTGCTAAGTGGCCACCTTGGCTCTCAGCATCCCTACCCCCTTTTCTCAGGGGTGTATGGTGTGGATTTCAGTGAAAGGAGAGGCTACCGGGGGTGACAGGGGGAGGTGCAGTCCCTGCCACTCCCACCTAGGATCGATTTGTCCTGCATTCCAGCCCTGGAGATGGGAAGCAGATGGTGGTGGAGTGGGGAGGGGAGGTAAGCAAGGAATGAGGGGACCCTCCCTGCACCCAGCTCCCCCCCACCCCCGCCGGCTAGGAGATGATGGGCTGGGTCTCTTGGAGAGAAACCTGGCAGGGGACAGAAGATAAAGCTCCCCATCTCCTCTCTGTCCCCAGTCTGTCTGACACAGCAGGTGACACTGCTGGTTTTCATCTCCAAAAGACCACAGGAGGGGACCTGGCATGAGGCAGCGGGCGAGAAGGGGAACGGGAAGAAGCCTACTGGAGGGCAGCAGAGGAAGGCAGGGACTTGGGCCAGCCCAGGGAGGGCCCTGTCCCCCTCCCCACCCCCGCCCCCAGCCTCTCAGGCCACGTGTCCCAAAGGCCTCCCTACCTGTGCCTGTAGAGGCCCAGCCTTCCCGCTGCTGCTGCCCACCACTCTTCCCGGGTGTGGGCGCTAATTCCTTGCAGCCTGGGAGCTGGGGTGACATCTCAGGCAGGACCCTGACCGCCCCCCCCCCCGGGGAAGGCTCTTGCAGGGGTCTGTGCCACTGTCCCAAAACCACGGGCCTGGGCACGGCCGGGAGGCCCCCTCCCCTTCGCTACCATGCTGGCCTGTCTCCAGCTCTCCCCTGTCCCCTAGCATGGCCACTGTAGGCAGACGAGTGACACAGGCACCCAATGTTGTTTTAAACACTTTATTTATAAAAAAGTACATTTTTTTCCTCAGTACAGTTTTCAACCCATTTTTTTTTATACAAGTAAAAGGGGGTGATGCAAACACCCCCTAGGTCAGAACCAGGAGAATCTGCTGGGCCGTCCCCGGGGCCAAAGACGAACACGGTGATGAAGAAACTGAAATCAAGGTAGCGCATCGCACTCAGAGGTGAAGGGTGGCAGCTTCTCCTGGATTTTGTTTCCATTTGTACAAAAAGAGAAAACCATTTTTTGTTGTTGTTGTTGTTGCGGTTGTTTTCCGGCCAAGAATCCCGTTCCTCACAGCAGGAGTCGGAAGACCAGCAGCACCTGGGCCCGGGCCGCGCGGCGCCCGCAGCCAGAGCAGGTGTCTCTGTGGCCAGGGACGGGCCCACGCGCCCCTTAGCAGGAGAGGTTCCTGGTGGCTTCGGAGGTCTCTGGGCCCCTGTCCTCCCTGGCGGGCCACCCCCACCCACCTAACACAGTTTCCGATTCCTCTGCTTAGAGGGTGGCAGAAAGATTATTGCACCAGTGACTTGGGCACATGGGAGGGAGGTTGGCGGGGGCGGGGGGGGAATGAGGGGCGTACGCCCTGGAAAAGAGGCCCCCGTGAGTCTCTCTGACAGCCCGGGCACTGGGAAGTCACGTCTCTGCTGCGGGGCTTCTGGCAGGCCCGGCCGTCCCTCTGCGCGTGCGCACTTGCGCTTGGGGGCGGGGGGCGTGCCCCGTGTGCGCGCAGGCTGGGCCGTGGGGTGGGGGCCGCGCTGTGTGCTCACCGATTCCCTGCTGCTGCGTTTCGGCTCCTTCTGATCAAAGGGGACTCGGATGCTTTGTTTACACATTAGAACAATATCAAAACCTTAAAGAAATAGGGGGGAGCAGGGGAGCAGGGTCCGGGGCAAGAACTGAGAGGGGTAACAAGAGGCAGGGTGACAACGGGGGAGGCCTTGGCACAATGAATACCAAGTTTATTTCATCTCCAGCAAAGGCAGAAGGCTCAGCTCAGGCTGGGGGGGGCGCGAAGGAGACGCGGAAGGTCCTCATCTCTCTGTTGGGCCAGGCCTCCCCTTCGTCGGCTGGCTGTGTCTGTGGGCCCGACGGCAGGGCCCACCTTCCCGCAAACTCGGGGCGCAGAAAGCCCCATGTCTCCAGGCCCGAGCGCTGACCCCTGCCTGCCCCCGGTCCACCCTCGGCCCCCGAGGAGCAACCGCCCTGCTGTGCATGCTGCTGCCCGGCAAGGTAGACAGGAGCCTCCCACGCGGCCCATGCGTGTGGCATGGATCCTACTTTGTGCTTTGCTTGGGGGGAGGGCATGGAGGGGTCTCAAGGGGGACTCAGTGCTTTGGCTGGGCCCGGGGGCCCTCCTAAGAACATCACATAGTGAGGAGGGGGGGCGGCAGTGCAGGACAAGGGAGATACAGGAGGAAGAATTCTTTCGGTTTCAAGGGGACAGAGAATGCCTCTATCAGGGAGGCCCCCGGGGTTTCCTCCTGCCTGGGGGTTGGGCGGGCAGGAGACCAAGCAGAGGGGCCAGAGTGCCGTGAGGTGGGATGCGGCAGTGATGTGACATGGAAAAGGTCCTCTGCCCTGGGCGACGCTAATACCCCTGGGAGAAATAGCCCGGCACCTCTGCCCCTCTCTGTCCTGTGGCTTAGAAAGACCCCAGAATTGTCTCCCCCATCTCCAACCCATCCAGTACCCCCAATGCCAAGAGGGGAGAGCCACCCCAGGGCTGGCATGGCTTCAGACTTCTGCTACGTGGCTACTGGGCAGCCAGGGCTGGGGCTGGGGCAGTGGGGGCCGGGTGAGGGCGGCCCAGCTGGTGGGCCCAGGGGTGCCAGGGCAGAGACGGGGCTGGTGGGGGGTTCAATAGCAGCACCAGGGAGGGGAGGAGTGCAGCTGGGGCTCCCTTGGGAAGCCTGTGGCAGGGTAGGCCAGTGCCCGTGGGGCACAGAGTTCTGCTTCCCTCCCCCCCCCGCAACACCTGCCATCCCACAGAGCCCCTGACGGCCTGGGGTAACTGGAACCCTAATGGGCAGGCGTGAGCCTGCTCTCCCATCCTGGAGTCCTTTCTATCTAGAGCGCTGGGGGGACCAGGGTGGACAGATGGAGGAACTGAGGCACTTTGAGCTGGGGGAACTGAGAGAGCTGAGAGGGGCCTGTCCCCCACTGTACAGACAGGAATCCCTTGTCTTGGGTGACCGATGGGAACCAGGAGCCCCATTCAAGGAGGGAATCTGTAACTTACAGGGAAAGCTTCCCCAGGGTCCCTACTGCCCCATCCCAGAATGGAGACCAAGGATAGCTGGGTGGGGAGGGGAGATCAGTGAGCAGGAGATGCTGGATCAGGATTCCTGCCCCCCCACCCGCACCCCTTTTGTACTGTCCGGCAAGCCCAGAACATCTGCACTGGCCTTGGCACAAGCCACCGCCTGCACTCTTCAGCATCTGTGTTTGCAAAACTTCTACCGGGTGGACTCCCTTCCCCATTGCCCTCCGTGGTGGTGCCCAGTCACCTCTGACTCCCAGACATCCTAGGGACCCCTGCCCTGACTCCCCAGGAGAATTGAGTTGCTAGCACTTGACAGATACGGGAGAAACCTGAGAACCTCCCATGCTGAAAGAAGCAATTCAGGGCCAGCTTCATGGGCCCTGGCCTCAGCCATCCCTGGAGACTTCTGAAGGCTGTCCCCATCCTCAGCTGGGGGTGGGGGGAGAGGGGGAAGAGGTGGGATAGAGAGGGGCGGGCCTCAGGCAGTGTCCAGCTGGGGAGGGCATGTGACCCCACGGGAACGAGGGGCAGACACGAGTGGCGAGTGTGCATGGAGGTGTGTGTATGTGTTGGTAGAGGCATACGGGAAGTGTGGGGCCAGAGTCTACCCGGAGTCCCACGATGTGGGGAGCAGAGAGGGGTCAAGAGGAGAGACACACCAGAGCTGGGCCAACTTCACTCCCTGTTGGCCAGTGAGGAAAAAAAATGTAAAACCAGCCTCGCCAGGAGAACACACTGCCCAAGGTCCCCGATTCATGTAACAAGACAACCCTGGGGCTTTAGAGAAGCCTCTCCCTGTCTCTTGGGTGCAACGGCTGTCTAGAGCGGGGTCCCAAGCTCCCGGCTGCTCTTGGCAGGGGGTGTGGGGGGGTCCCCCTACCTGGGAAAAGAGGAGCAGCATCTGGGGGTGGGGGTGGGGCTTTTCCTCTCGGAAATCCCTCAGCCCTCTACCCCCGGTGGAAAGACCACAAACAAATTCCAGTGTTGGGGGGGCGGGGGAGGGCTGGTTCCCCAAACCCTGGAGGGACGCCCAGGTACACAAGACGAGAACAGGGCTCCCCACACAGAGGGCAGGCAGAGGGTGGTGGGGTCAGGGGAGGGAAGGTACAGCAACACCAAAGCCGCAGCGAACACAACACTATGGGGAGGGCCGGGGACAGGGAGGAAACCAAACCAAAGCCAGGTCGTGTCTGCCCTGGGCTCCCCGCTCCCCGGAAGTGTGGGGCTGGCTCTGGGCAGCTGGGCGAGTCTCTGTCCTGGAGGAGTGGGCATGGGGGTGGGCAGGGGGCGTGCGGGCGGGGGGCTGGGGAGAAAGGGGAGCAGACAGAGGCTCTGGAGAGGGAGGCTACACGTACCACTCCTTCTTGGAAATGAAAGACCCGTCATTCTGAGAAACCATGTTCTCGGCCAAGTCCAGCTGCTCGGGGTCATACTGGTAGCCCAGAGTCCGGTCCCCGTAGCCGTCCTGACGGGCCTCTGCCTCATCCACCGTGAAGTAGGGCCGCTTGGCGTCCTCGTCGTACTTGGGGTGGGGGCCACCCACCTTGCGCTCACCCCCTCCGCCGCCCTCCTCCTCCTCTTCTTCCTCGTAGCTGCTCCCGCCCAGGGGCCCAGCCTTCTTCTCATCGTCCGAGTCATCCGGGTACTGCAGGTTCTGGGCCATGGGCGGGTGGTGCTGGGGGATGCCTGCCTTGCTGTAGCCATTGCCATACACGTGCTTCTTGGTGCTGTAGTCGCCCTTGAAGGTGTGCCTGCGCCGGCGCAGGGCGACCACTATCCCGCCGACCACGATCACCACCAGCAGGATGCTCCCCGCCACGCCCCCAATGATGGCCGTGGGCACCGGCCCGGCGCGCCGCCCATGTTCAGGAGGAGATGGGGTGTAGGGGAATTCTGGGTGAGGAAAAGACATGGAGGGGGACAGTGTCAGTGCCTGCTCCTGGGGTGGGGGGTCAAAAGGGGTGGCAGGGGAGGGAAGGGCCAGGAAATGGGCCCAAGGCCCAAGGGCGGCTCCAGTTGCACAGGCCCCTGGGCGCCCCATCCCTCCAAGAGCCCCGTGCGCTGCAGAGTTGCGGCTGAGCGAGAGAAGAGGCAGAGTCCCAGAGCCCCGGAGCCTCCATGCTGGCTTTCTCCTTGGCTGTTTAACCAGCCCAGATCCTCCCCATCATTGGAGCCCACCCTGGACCCAGTGGCCCCTAGCCACCAGTCACCATCACGGCACCTTGAGAAATAAGCGTGCTATTAATTTCTATTCAATGCGCCAGGCAACAAGGCTCAGAGAGGTTAAAGAACTTGCCTGAGGCCATCGGCCTATGATGACATTGGTTCTCTTGCATCCCCTGCAGACGTCCCCACTGCCCCTCTGCCCAACACCTGCTGGTCACTGGGCACCCCATGCCTGATTTCACCTGCTCCCAGGGCACAGGGAAGAGGGTGGGTTCCCATGCTGGCCCCATGGACACCCTGTGAGTGCCAGAAACCAGGGCTGTGGTTCTGGGCTGTGGTCTGCCCTGTAGGGCAAGGTGGGTGCCAGGTGTGCTGCCAGCCTGGGCTGCGAGCAAAAGACGCCGAGCATGGCTGTGCAGAGAGGGGGCATGAGCGCATGTGAGTTCATGGCCATGGTGACGAGTTTACACAAGGGAACGCGTGCCTGGGCACACCCTGGCTGTCACTGTGAGCCCGCATACCTGTGCTGATGTGATGAATGTATGTGTACAAACATGTGCGCGCTGAGGACAGGGTGGAAACAAGAAAGCAGGAAACGTGGAAAGAAGGGAAAGGAAGCAGGTGGGAGGGGGAGAAGGCTGGGCAGGTGACTGCCCAGTGCTCTGGTCAGTGCTGCCCCGAGGGGAGACTGAGGGAGGCGGTTCCCAGCACCACCACAGGGTGGCACCCGAGACCACGGTTGGCCCCAGTCAGAAGTGCAGGTGGGCAGGTTTTCGGGGTGGGGAGGGTGGGGAGCCTGGGAGGGTTGCTGGGCTGTTCTAGGCCCTCCTCTCTTTAGGTCAAGGTAAAGGTGTACAGTTTGGGCATTTGTTCCGGTCCCTGGGAATCGGTTTCTGCCAGCTCACTCCTTGATTGAGTATCGCTCATTCCAAGGGAATCCTGCTCCTCCTCTGAGCCCACTCCCTCCTCCCAGAGGTAGAGCCGGCCCACTCCGGCCATGTGTGTGAGTGGGTGGGGTGCTGGCTGCAGCCCGCAAGAGCAGGGCAGAGGCTCTGGAAGAGAGGAGGAAAGGACTTCCGGGAGTCCAGGCTGGAAGGGCTAATGAAAACACGGGGGCCCCAAGAAGGGGAGGCGATTTGCCTGCAGTCACATGGGTGAGCAGGGACCACCCAGATGCCCCTGCTCCCGGCCTCTCCACATGCAGGACTTGGCAGAGAAACACAACTGCTTGTCACCACTGTGTCCTCAGTGTAGGTCACCGAGTGGCTGCCTAATAAATATTTATTGAATATTTGTCCTCACCACTCACTTCCAAAACAGTTTCCGTGGAACCTCAAGCTTCTCCTGCTTCACCAGGTCCCATCTGTTTACTGCCTTTAAAAGGGCTGCACACCTGCTCCCCAAGAAGTGGGAGCTGCCTCCACAAGGCGCACCCGAAAGGCACTAGCAGGAATCTGGCCTCTTCCGTACTTTTGACCTGTCTGCTCTCTCTTCAGTTCTCACCCCATATCTGAGTGCTGTCTCCTCTGTACATCTGCCTCATCGCTTCACCCATCTACCCACCCATCCACCAATCTGTCTGTCCAGCCATCCACCCATCCACTGATCTATCCATCCCCCATCTACTCCTCCATCCACTGATCTATCCATCCTCCATCTACTCATCCATCCACCCATCCACTGATCTATCCATCCACACATCCATCCATCCACCCACCCATCCACTGATTTATCCATCCCCCATCTACTCATCCATCCACCCATCCACCCATCCATTCACACACCCATCCACTGATCTGTCCATCCACCTATCCATCCACCCACCCATCCGTTCATCTATCCATCTCCCATCTGCTCATCCATCCATCCATCTATCCATCTCCCATCTGCTCATCCATCCATCCATCCATCCACCCATCCACCCACCCACCTACCCATACACCGATCCACTCACGCATCCCTCCATCCATCTACCCATCTATCCACCTATCTACCCACCTACCCACTCAACAAACATCTATGGAACATCTATTTTGCTAGTCACAAGGATACAAGAAACTCCCAGCCTACCTGGGGAACCAAATGACACCCTTAGGGTTAAAGCAGCATGCAGACAATCAAGAACAGTGGCAGAGAAGTGCCTCAGGAGTGCAGGGGAGAGAGCACTGTAGCCTGGAGTTAGAAAAGGCTTCTCGGAAAAGACTTAAGCCAAGCCTTGAAGGATGGCAAGGACTGGGAGAGGCCAAGAGACTAAGAAAGGCATCCAAATGGAGGGAACTACATTTCCTTTCAAGTCTTTCCATCAAATCTTGTTGACTTCTCCTACTTAGTTTCTCATCATGTCATGCCGGGTTTTACTATAGATTCCTGAATCTCCCACCTTCATCTGGTCTCCGTTCTCTTTCAGTCACCATCCACAGTCACCAAGTTAATTTCCATTGTGTACACACTACCGCTCCCTTTCTCAGACTGGCAATAATGTCCCTCCCCACTGCCTGCTGGACCACGCCACTCTGGGCTTCAGAGCTTTCATCATGCCACTTGATCTTGGCTTTGGCTAACCCACCATCCTTGCTGTCCAAGTTGATTCTTTCCTTCAAGCCTTTGCTCATGTCGTTTGGTCTGCCAGGAATGCCCTTCCTCATCCCCTCGTGGCCCATTTCCGCTCTTCAGTCCTGTCTTTATGCAGCCTGGCCTTCTCTAGCTCACACTTACCTGCTCTCTTTCGAATTTTTATGATGGTCTACACCTCTCATGCTGGTATATACAATAGCTAATTCCATTCCATTTATCATAGACTGATATATTATGGTAAAGCCTCTGATGAAACACCCTGCAATAAATGCAAGTCAGGATCCACCATAATTGGCTCTGGTCCTTCTGCTAGTTTTCAAATGGCTAAAGTTCTCCCCAGAAGGCGTGAGGGGAGGGGTTGGGGAAATGGCGGACCCATGATACTTTGGGACTGCTTCCCTTCAGTGTGTGACAGTTGTGTGCAGTGTAAAGTTCCGCTATATTTATTCTTACGCTTTTTGCACCAGCAAAGACCCAATGAACAAAAAAGCCTTCCTGCGTTTTATTTGACTAGATTGAATTTTTTGGACCCCACCAATCACACAGTACGGTTGTTTTTCGTACTACCTGTGTCACAGGAGTGGTTTGTGTCCCAAATCAGTCCGTAAATTCGAATTTAAGGTAGATCTAGAACCTGACCATTTCCCGCCATCACCACCTCCCTAATCCACGCCACCATCATCCGTCACCTGGATTTTTGCAGTAATTGCCTAACTGGCTTCTCCGGTTCTGCCTTTCCCCTCTACAGATGATCTTGAACACAGGAGCCACAGAGACCTTTTACATCTGAAGAGCTTCAAATGGTCTACGTGACCTGTGCCTTGGCTCGCCACCTCTGATTTCATCTCTTGCTTTCCTCCTGGCTCACTCTGCCCCAAGCCTCCTCAGTGCCTTTGCACTGGCTGCTCTGTATTCTGGAAGACTCTGCCCCCATGTCCCAGGGTCACTCTTTCACCTCCTTCAAGGCCTGACTCAGACTTCTCATTGACATCACCTTCTCACCAACGCCTCCCCTGACTACCCTGTTTAAAACCACAGCTCACAACCCCCCACCCCTGCATTTGTGACCCCTTGACCCTGCTTCTTTTCTCCAAGTCACCTTCAAAATGACTACGTCATTTTTCAAATGTATTTTACCTGTTGTTTGCTGTCTGTCCTTCTGTGCTACAACACAGACTCCAGAGGGACAGGGACTTTGTTTGGCTCACTGATGTGTCCCCAAGCACTTAGACTGCCTGGCAGGTGGCCGGAGTTCAAGAACATTTGTTGAATGAATTGTGTCAAGGCAAAGCTTGCCTTAGAGCTGAGCTTCTGGGTCCCCTTCTAGGTCCTTCTGTTTCACTCTTCTTTCCCCAAGTCCTAAGGGGGTTTGCTCTTCCCTGGGCATCTTTTGGGACCAAAGGGAACCCTGCTTATTTTGGCTGCGTGAGGGCCAGGTCTGCCTAGAGGTAGAGAAATGGCTAAGACGACTATCAGCATTGCAGACTTCCCCGTGAAGATGCCACGTGAGGGTGCAGAAGGAGTAGATGTGGGGACCTCCTTCATCTGCAAGGAGAGGGGGCTGCTTGGTGTGGAATGAAGCACCCACCTGCCCATCCGGCCTTCCAGCCGTCACGGTCAGCTAGTAGCTCCTGGGGCACCAGAAGCAGAGCCTCAAGGGCCTTGGCCGGCTGGGGAGAGAACTGGGTGGTGGGGATCTCACTGGCCTCCCTCACCTCCTTTTACAAAGGGGGCAGCTCGGCCCCCCTTCCGGAAGGATTGCAACCTCCCCTCTGGGAAGGGAGGCTGGACGGGACCCTGGGGGCTGTGGGAGCTCTGCATTCCTTCCTGGTCATGGTTTCCTGGCGGGGGCGGGGGTGGGGGTGCGGTATAGGGGCTTTGGATGGATCTGAGGTGGAGGGTGGGTTTATAGTCTGGTTCTGGGATCTGGAAAAGTTTTAGGGTTAAAGAGAAGGTTTGGACTTATTTCTAAAAGCAACCCTGTGTTTCCTCTGGCAGCGAGGAAGTGCTCTGGCATCACAAGGCCAGGAAGCTGCTGGAACCACAGCTCCCAGTGTGCCGTGCAGGGGCCGCGGGGAGCGTGGTCAGGCCCGGGGTCAGAACCGAATCCTCCCGGGGGCACAGACACAGCCGCCTGCTCAGGGGCCCCTGGCACGCACTGCCGCCTGTCCACAACAAGGCACCTTTGCCCACGGCACAGCCAGAGCTGCCTTGTGCACACTCGGCCTGCAGATGGGCACTCACCTGCTTGCCTGTGCACATTTACACGCTCAGAGGCACGCACCCTCGCGGGCTCACACATGCCCTCCATTCCAGAGGGACCCTGGAGCCCCACCAACATGCAGTCATAAGAACACCCGCTCTGGGAGGGAGCCCTGTTACCTTGACCTTCAAGTGGTCATCCCCCGGAGATGGGCCTGGGGCTTCACCGGAAGTGGGACCTGGGGCAGACACCCTGCACCACAGTGGCCTCCCTACTCTGCTCCTGGAGCGGCCTTGATACTCTTTTCCCAACAAGCCCCAGTCCCAGGGATAGATGCTGCCCCATTTGGCCCCTTCAGTCGGGTCAAGGCCATAGCCTGAGCACCTTTCCCCACCTTGGCCCTGGAGGGAGAAGTGAAGGGAGCTCACTGGCTTGTTTTGTGGCTATTGGGCTAACCCCATGCAATTGCTCCTCGGCTCTCACATCTCAAAAATGGGCCTGTGTGAGGGCCCCGGGCCCCATGGACACGTCCACACAAATTCTGGTGAGCCTGTCTTCCCGTCCTCACGGCCTCAGCCCAGGCCTGTCCCTTCCCACTAGGGACACCCTCACTGTACAGCCCCTAACTGGTCCCCTGGTGCCACCCACACAGCCTCCCCAGTGCTTGGTCTACACCACCTGCTTCTCTGCTGAGAACCCTTTAGCAGCTCCCCTTTGACAATCCATTGCTCCCAGCATTCTCCCCCAACAAGCCTCCCCCTGCCTGGGGACCCCCCCATCATTGCCCACTCATCCTTGTAGGAACAACTCAAATGCCACCTTCTCTGGGGCCCAGGGACCCGAGAAGCCCATGCAGGTGCAGTGCCCCGCACACGTGCGCCCCGCACACACGTGTGTCTTTGGCACACACCCTGTGGCCCGCCTCCTCCCGCCCCTGTCCCAGCAGCTCTTCATTTTCCTCTCCAGATGTGCCCAGGGCAAAGCTATTACTCGAACGGATGGCCAGAATGAAAAATTAAATTTTCACTTATCCGTCTCGCTGATGCATTCCCTCCTGACCGGCGGGGCTTGGAGTGTGCCCCCAGAGTGGGCCCCCCAGAGAACATGACAGGCACCAGCTGATGTGGGACAAAGGCTGGTGGCAGCGGCGGCTGCTCGGAGATTGTCTATGAGCACCAGGGCACACGGCTTGGAAAAGGCTCAGGCTTCCCGGCTGAGCTGTCCTGCGGGGCCGAGATGTCCTCCCTTGAGAGGGCCAGCTAAACAGCGCCCGGGCCCATCAGTGATTCAGTCACCTGTGTGTGACTTTGGTTACCCACCCCCACCCTCTCTGTGCCTCTGGGGAGCCCAGGAGGATATGCCATGTGCCTCTTCCAGCCGGGGCCCTGGGCAGCTGGGCCCCCTGACCGCAGGCCGGCTAGGCCTGACTGCAGATCCCACGCAGGACACCCCACTGCGGCCGTCAGCCCCAAGGAGACGGCCCGCCTCCTCCTTTTCCTCTCTGTTCTTTAGCCTGGGCCTGGGACGCGCCCCCTTCCCTTCCTCCCTGCTCCTGGACCTGGTGTGATGCCCCGATGATCAGCTTACATTCGTAGTCATCATGCATCCTCCTGAGCTTTGGGAGAAGGGAGTCCCAACTTTGCTGGGTAGTGTCCCCTGGCTCCATGAGCCTAGAAGGGCCTCTGGCTGGTCCACTCATGCCAGGGGCAGGATCATGGGAGGTCATGGCTCCCCAGTTTCTTGGCCTGCTCCCCTGACTTCCCAGTCTTCAGTATCTCCAGCCAGTGGCACATGCATCTGGCCTGAGAGAAGTATGATGATCTTGGTCTTATAGACTGGGGAAGCTGAGGCTCTGAGACATGAAGGCCACACAGCCAGGAAGTAGTGGGTGAATGCACTCAGGCCGAGTCTGTGCTGTCCTGCATCTGATCTGCCTCCCTGTGGCGTGGCTATGCTCCCTTAGGAATTTGCTCCCTGTTGGTCCCATGGCCCCAGTGCCAGAGCTCGGGCACCCATGAGGCTCTTACTGAGCTTTGCCCAAATTCTCTCCAGGAGGGGAGAAGTGTGTGATTCTGCCCTCCCCCTCCCCCACCGCCCCTACCCTGAGCCCAGAGGACAGGCTGCCTTAGCTTTTCCCAGGGGTCATCTCAGACACTTCTACGACCTTAACCAGTGCCAGAGCCAAGGGCAGGGAGTTGAAGAAGCAATTGACAAGCGACTGCACCTTCCCCTGGTGAGAGTGAGACGCAACAGCCCTGGGTGTGACCTCACAGGTAGGTGCAGATCCTGGACAGTGACTTCTGCCGCTGTGCCGCGGATGGACCCACAGATGGCACGGGCCCAGAGCCGGTACGTCTGTAGGGCATGCCCGAGTCCTGCGCCTGGACTCCAGCAACTGCAGCCCAACTTCCCAGACTCCTGAGCCTGGCTCCACATCTCCCTGGGGTCACTTCCTGCGTGTGACACGCACTCTCGGATGCCACGTCCTGCCCGTCCTTGTGGCCGCGCGACACCACTGCCTGTCTCAGGAGGTTCTTTCTGTCACTTTCTTTCCCTGCAGCCACCTCCGCCGCCATGTTAAAGACACTCCCTCTTCCGGCTGTGAAGTTGTGATGGCAAATTTTACCCCTCTATTGGCTTGTTTTGATCCTTCCATTAATAATGATAATGACAGAGGTCAAGATAATAATCATAGAGCAGGGGCCATTTATTGACAGACTGGTCTGTACTAGGTACTTGGCCCATGTTATATAAATTCTGACAAGAAGCCTGCAGGACACCTCGAATTATGCCCATTTTCAGAGAAGCCCTTGTCCAAGGCCCTGGTGATGTTGATACCCATGATCATGGGTATGATCGGCCTGGAGACCGTTGATGCATCACAGGACACGGGCAGGCCCTAACACCTGTCCCCACACCGTCCCCCCACCCGCAACAGCACTTCCTCCCTGCCGGAACCTCTCTCTGACCCCCTTCTGATTGGCGGTCACCCTGTTTCATGCACGGCCTCAACAGAGGAAAGAGAAAAGCAAAGCAAGGCCAATTGCCAGAGCGCAGGAGAGACCCGGAGGAAGGGGAGACACAAACTCGCTGCAGTGGCCTAACCCAAAGGCAGAGCAGTGGTGGCGAGAGGCAGAGCAGGGGACAGCTTCCTACCTGTGATGTTGACCTCCACCTGGCCCGAGCGGGTGCCGATGGGGTTGGTGGCCTCACACACGTAGGTCGCGGCCAGGCTGTAGTTGATGGGCCCCCTGAAGAAGAGGGTTCTGTTCTGGGCCTCCACGCCCTTCGGGAGGGAGCCATTCAGCCTGCAGGGATGGGGAGACATGGTGGAGGGTTAGGCCCCGCCAGCCCGGCCTCCAAGACTCCTAGCCCTTCTGCTCAGTTCCCAGGCAGGGTCTATCTCGGACGGAGCGCAAACAATAACCACAACCATAATCTTTCGCGTCTGGCAGATTCCTATCGTTCAGTGTCTCGCGCTCAGTGGTCCCAGTGCTGAAATGTAGACAGGTCAGGGGGACACTGGTCCCCCTGAACAGGTGAGAAACTCTTTGAGTTCAAGGTCAAGCAACACAGCTAGTAGTAAAGTGACAGAACTGGAGCTCTAGCCGGGTCTCTGGCTCCCGGCACAGTGCTCTTCCGACTACGCCCGGTTCCTGCTAGGTGCCCTGGGTTCCTAGTTGATAATATAGGTGTCCGGGTCCTAACCCCAGATCTACCGAGGCTGAACGGCTGGAGCCGGCCTGGAGACCGGAATTTTAACAAGCTGCTCGGGTGATGAGGTGTGACCCACGTGGAGGGATCGTGCTCTGGTACGTGGTCTCATGTTCTGGCTGGGCGTGCTCACAGGCCATTTTCCTGGGGACGGTGCCACAAAGCTATTACTCTGTGGGGCCTAGCAGCTCCCTGGTACACGGAGCTGAAACGGGTCACCTGCACCTCCAGATAGACTTCCGGTTCCAGAAGGTGGAGGGGAGAACTAGCTAGGGCAGGCCAGTGCCTTCTACTTCCTGGAAACGGAGTGCAGACACAGTGTGCGCAGCCATCTCCGGGCCACCCATGTCAACCTACTTCCTGGCTTCCCCATACCCGTCTTGCTATGCGTCCCATCCTGCTTTTCTCTGGGAAGAACCCAGCCTGGGCCATCAGAGCCGGCCGGAGGGGCAGACTGGACCCTTCGAGAGCCAGGCTCAAAGGCTGTGACGCCAAGAATGGCATGGCGGGCTATGGGGCAGGCACTCCATGGACACAGGCCTTCTGGGCTGATGGCTGCCCCCTCCTTGCGAATCTGGGGGTGCTGGAGAGAAGGAACGGGAACAAAGAAAGATCTGGGATGCTCCAGAAAGCCAGCTTCCCTGGGGACACCTCGATAAAAATAAATACCGGGGGCTGGGGTGGGAGTGACTCAGATTGAATCACCAAAGGAAAATGACAAGATTCTTAGGGAGAAGAAGGCAGGCGGTTTGTGAGGGGATCCCCCTCGGGCAGAATGGTCTGTCCCGCTGACCTGCTGCTGTCCGACACGGGGCATAGGTGCAGAGGGGCTCTCATGGCCCCTCCCTTTCTCACTGAGAAATCTGAACCAAGACCCTAAATTCCTCCCCACTTAGTGCTCCTGGAGGTGGGGTGGGTGTCTCCCTGTGACCAGCTAGATGCCCTGCAAAGCGACCAGCCAGCCTCCGGGCACTCACGTGGTCCAGTGGAAGTCGGTGGCAGGGGGGTTGGCATCGGCTTTGCACGTGAGCTTCACGTCCATCCGCTGCAGGTACCAGTTCCCATCAAACCCCTCGATGGTCACCTCAGGCTCGTCTGTGGGACAACGGACGTTCGAGAAGGTGAGGTCAGGAGAGCAGGGCTTGAGGCGAGGGAGCGAGCCTCCGACAGGGAAGGGGTGGGAGGGACAGTGACGTGGCTGGAGCTGGAAGGCGGGGAGAGAAAGGGGGCGGGGTGGGGATCACGGACCTTCCGAGCAGGTGGATGGAGGAAGGAGGCGGGCAGACGGGCACAGGAAGGCGATGGGGAAAAGAGAAGAGGGAGGGCAAAGCACCCCAAAAAGAGAAAGGGAAGGGAAGGCAGGGGGAGGGCTGGCGAGAGTGGGGCGGGCAGTAGGAGGGGACGGCAGCCCCTCCCCCCCTCCCCCCCGGAATCCGCCCACGCTGCGCCCCGCTCACACTGCACGTCGAGGGTGAGGCTTTCCCGGAAGCGGTCCGTGTGGTAGTTGACGATGCAGGCCAGGGTTTGCTGGTGAGCCTCCCGGCTGGGCACCAGGCGGTAGCGGCTGATGACGGTCACCGTGCCGTTGGGGTTCCGGATCTCCTGGTACTCTGCCTCGCCCTTCAGGCGTGTTTCCCAGGACACCACGCTGGGGGGCTTCCCGTTGGCCGAGGTGCAGGTGGCCACCAGGACCTTGTCATCCTGCCCCTTCTTGGCTCGAAGCACCGTCTGGGTGCCCTCCACCCAGTTGGTGGGTTTGGCTGCGGGGAAGCAGAGGGAGCCGTGGGGCTAGATCTGCGGCCTCGTCCAAGATGTGCAGGCCCGGGAGGGCACCCTGGCCATCCCTGCCTCCGAGCTGTGCCGCTCCCAGCCCTTCTCACGGGGGCAGCTTCATGTCTAACCTATGTCCTTCCTGCTCTACCTGGTGCCCCCTTTTGTCAAGCAAAGGCCTTCCTGGAGCCTTGCACGCTCAAGGCCAGCGGCTCATGCGGCTCTCTTCCTTACCGTGGTGTCGGAAGCTTCTGCCTGCTTCCTGGTCACCCACAATTACTCTGCAGTGGGGCTTCCAACCTGAATCCTGATCCTTAGCTCCGTCCACAGCTAAAGCCCTGCACCCCATCCCGAGTGAGCCATGGGACAGCCTTGCCGGAAGGGACTGGAAGCGCCATGCCTGGGGCTTTGGGAGCATGCCAAGCCAAGGAGAATGCCTGGGGCCACTGAGGCACGTGGCGCGGATGGCCGAACCCCAGGCCATGGGCCGCTGTGCAAGCAGTGGGGGAGCGGGGAGGCCAGCTTACCCATTACAGTGAGGTTCAGCTGGCTCTCTCTGTTGCCAGCAGGGAAGGTGGCAAATTCGCAGATGTAGACACCTTCGTCTTCCAGCTCAAGGCGGGAGAGGCGGATGGTGCCGTCCGTGAAAGAGGGCCGCAGGAACTCCACGCGCTCGCGGTAGGGGGCCAGCACGGAGACGCCCATGGCTGGGTTGTAGATGGCCACATTCTGCTTGGAGCCGTTGGTGGCCTTCTGCCACGTGACCTGGGTGATCTTCACGCCGGGCAGCGGGTTGGCGAAGCTGCAGTGTAGGACCACGTCTGTGCCGATGAAGCCGTACATGGAGTCGTTGACCTGCACCACCTGGGCGTGGGCGCCTGGACAAGAGACACGGCGAGACTGGTCAGCGACAGGCACAGCTGCCCGCCCCCCGACGCCCCATCCCCATGCTCTTTCCTTTCTGGCTGTCGTTACTCTTCTGATTCTGATCATAAAAATAATAATTGCTTGTTACTAAAGCACTCTGGACGATACCGAAAAAGACCATGATCCCCGCCATTCAGAAAGATCACTGATCATCTTGTAGCAAATCTCCTCTTTTACTTTTTTCTCTCTGTATTCATTTCTCTATCTCTAGGTTTCTCTGCATAACCATCTTTTTTTAAGACGAAATCAGAATCATACCGTATGTATTGTTCCATAAGCTGCCTTTCTGTTTAGCGATGTTATCGGTACTGCTCCATGGGCAGTAAATATATACCTACACCCTCATTTCTCATAAGGGGGAGTCGAACGCATTGCTCCCCTAGGAGCCACCAAATGCCCCACCTTCCTGGGCCTCAGTTCCCTTCTGGCAAATGGGGCACAGAATCCAGTCCTCTACCTCACGGGGCTGCTGGGCAAACCAAACGAGACTAATGAGAAAGGGTCAGGAGGCACTGACCATGTGGGCTCACAGTGGCCACCGCTGTGCTCTCCGCCATGGTCTTCTCCCTCAAGGCTGAGCGCCTGTGCCTTAGGGTGCGCTGGCTCCGTCCCTCTCACCCCTCCAGTCGGGGAGAAGTAGGTGCCATGCAAGGCTTGGCCTCAGCTGGCTCCCGGATGCTTTCACAATCAAGTCTAAATGTCTTAACTTGGCCTTCAACATCCTTGTCATCTGGGCCCTTTTGTCCACGTCTCTCCACACACGTTGCCTTCCAACCACGTCAGACTGATGCCCGCCCCCAGACCAGGCCATGTTTCCGTGTTCCCCTTCCTCCTTCTCTCCCTCCTTCTGACACTCCCAGACTCTTGCTCGTGCAGTTCCCTAGAAAGCCCTGGAAGGCTCTTCCCCCTTCTCCACCTGTGGATCTCCCACTCAGGCCACCTCTTCTGGGAAGCTTCCCAGATCTTTCCTGCACGCCTTACTTAATCCAGCCACTTCTGTTACAGATCTTTTCTGCCTCAAAATGTGGTTGTTCACGCCCGTGGCTTCTCTGCCAGAACAGGGTCCGTGTCTTTCCCAATCACCACCTCGTCAGTGCCCAGCCCCACCTCTGGCACACAGTAGGTGCTCAGTAGATAGCCATTGCCAGACAGACTGTGACGGAACCCAGGAGAATAGAGATTTGCGGGAAGGAGGGGTGAGCAGTGGCATCGGATGAATGAGTAAGTTTCCCCTCGTCTCCTTACTGATCGCTTTCTTCCACTAGAATGGCTTGTTTGAGCTTTTCCTCATCCTGAACGCGGGGCAAAGACCCTCCAGCGGGTCTCCCAGGCCCAGGCTCTTTCTTGAGCTCTGTTATTGGCCGTGCATCTGTACGCTTCATATTGTCGTCTCCTTACTACACTCAGTTTATTGAGGGCTGTCGATAATATCAATGGCAGGTCCTATACTGACCTAGAGGCGAGGGGATGGCCTCAATGGGGTTCAAGAGTGGAAACTCAGGGCTCACCTTCGCTACTGCATGGTGGAGACACAAGGCAGGGCTCACTCCTCTGAGGCTTGGAAGACCATGATAGGTGAAGGCTGCCCCCCCCCGCCCCTCCCTTCAGGAGGGCACAGGCCATGTCTCCTGGGTCACTGTAATGTCCTCTGTGTGTGGCATACAACAGATACTCAAACACTTGCTGAATAAACAGATCTTTGGCCCCTTCAAGCCAGGCCCTTGTCATGCTCTGAAAGCTTCTCGGATACCCCCGTCTTCTCTGCCTCTTCACATCCACGCAGCCCTTCAAGGCCCACCTGGGGGTGCCCCACCCCCACCCCTCCAGCTGTCCCCCTGGCTGCTGGGTCTGACACATCCTCGGGCAGAGAGCACTGTGGGCTGGTGGGAGCCCAGGAGGAAGCAGCCTCCAGGGAGGTTGGGGGGGCGGGGGGGGTGTTCTGCTCAGCTCTATCTTGAGCTGAGACTTTGGCCGGCCACTTCCCCCTCCTGAGCTGCCCTGTTCTCCTCCTCTGTAAGGGAGTGGGCTGGACTCGCCAGTCTAAGTGGTCCCTTCTGGGCCGAGTCGGATTCCCTGAACTGCAGCCCAGCCTCGCTGAGGCCACACCCCAGATAGAGTCCCACGGTGAGGTCAGCGGGCCAGACAGCCCAGTGTTCTTGCTGACTGGCCGGCTGGCAAGCGGCTGAGCCCCAGGCCCTCCCAGTAGCCTAAGTGGGGGGGTGCCCCCCACCCCCCTCCGCCCCCCACCTCCACTCACCAACCTGCTGGAGGTCGCCCAGCAGCTGAGATAATGTGGGTATAATTGGGGAACTTTCACCACACAGAGCCAGAAACAGGAAAAGCCAGTCGGGAGGGCTTGGGCCATAGGCTGCAGGGGGTTGGGGCGGGGGCACCAGGAGCCATCTTGGGATTGGTGCCAGGGCTCGGTGGGGCCTAGAGTGGGACACAGCCCGTCGAGCCTGCCTTGCCCCCCCCCTCCACTCCCCTGCAGGTGTGGGGGCAGGCCGGCTTCAGTGGCTGGCGCACACACTGCCATTCATTTGTTGTGTCTTCAGCAGTGGCCTCACCCTTCAGAGCTGTGAATGCCAGGAGCAAAGATAACCGATAGCGGCCTGGGCGTTGGGGCGGGGCGGCCACGGCGGGGGCTCGGGTGCCCTAGCGGCCCTGTCTCCTGCATCAGTGCCTCACCAGGCCAAGAAGGCCCTCCACACCCTAGTGTCTGTTTTGGGGTTAAGGCCCCTCTCTCCTCTCCAGTGTGGCTCTCCCAGAAGCAACCCCGTGGGGCAGTAAGGAGAGTGCTTGGCACGCCTGCTCACACTGTGCACACCCTGGGTTCTCCAGGCCCTTTGCCCCTTTTGCACTAGGGAAGAGGGGGCAGGCCAGAGTGGGAGAGGGCCTCTAGGGTGCAGGCAGACTTATTTTGGTGTTCATGTCTCTGTCTACAGCCCAGAGCACAAGGGAGCACTTGGGAGTTTAGGGTTTGGGGCCACTCCCTGATCCCAGAGATCTGGAGCTGGGAGGGGCTGGGGCCACTTGCAAGGCATGAAGACCCCCCTTCCTTAGCCCTCCACCCCACTCCAGGCTTAGGGATCCAGAGCCCTCGCTTCTGGCTTGGGGCTTCCAGTCTTTTTTTTATGTGAGAGAGAGAGAGAGAGGGAGAGAGAGAGGGAGAGAGAAAGCATGTATGTGTGTGGAAGCACAAGCACGAGCAGGGGAGGGACAGACAGTCAGAGAGGGAGAGAGAGAATCCCAAGCAGGCTCCACACTGTCAGCTCAGAGCCTGACTTGGGGCTCAGACTCACAAACCGGCAGATCATGACCTGAGCCAAAATCAAGAGGTGGACGCTCAACCGACTGAGGCACCCAGGTTTCCCGGGGCTGCCAGTCTTGGTCCCAGGATGCAGGTTGGGGAGAATGACCCTCATTCTTTAGACTGGTCAGATTGGGAGGCTTTCAGAGAAGGGAGCAGACCTCTGCGGATCTGACAGCCAGGGTCCGAGTGCTGCAATGAATGGGGCCGTGGGGATCACCACTGGAAAGGCCGAGAAAGGGCTGGATCAGGTCAAGAACCCAGGGCCCAGGAGGAGGGCCCACTTCTGTGCAGGAAGAGGCGGAACCATAAGCCTCTTCTGGAAGGCCTGGGACAAGGGGCAGAAAGAGGAGGGCAAGCTAGTCCAAGTGCCTGCACCAACCACTCCCGCCGGCCCTGATGACCTAGAAGTTGAGCTTGTGTCTTCCGGACGCGGCCAGAGCTCCTCCCGCCATCTAAGGGGCTGCTCCACCTCCTCCCATGTGCATGAGCTTGTGAAGAGCCAGTGTGGCTTTGCCTACTCCCTCTGCCACTTATGAGCTGAGAAACGTTGGGCAAATGACTTAACTACTCTGTGCCTGGGCTTGCACTGACGTTTCTCACCTGTGAAAAGGGGGGCACAATAATGTCTATCCCACACAGTGGTCCTAAGGATGAAATGACTATACGTGAAACTAGAGGGTGGCACTTAGCACAGAATGAAACGCTCAGTAAGTGTTCGTTGCCATCGTTATCGTCATCATCACCGCCACCTTCATCCTCATCTGCATCCCTTCATTTTCTCTTTCCTGGCAAGCATGTCTAGCGTGTTTCTTGTGTGTTCCCCAGCTCCCAACAGATTGCGACTCCCTGTGTGAGAGGGAAAGCACAGGCTTGACCTTGGGTTTTGTTGGCCATATCGTGGCTCGCTGGCAGGGTCTAGGGCGTGGAGATGACCCTGCTAACTTTCTCTGGTTCCCAGGCAGTTAAGGATGGTCCACACAAGGCATCGTCTCTCCTTCCTCACGGGGCCCCTCTTACATGAGGAGCAAGGGCTCTCCCAGAGGTGGAAACCAGGACCACAAAATGGTAGCATACTGGAGCTCAATGGACCATGTAACCCATCAGTTTACAAAGGAGGAGCCCAGAGTCTCTGAGGGGTTGGGTCACTTGCTTGGAGACACGTGGAAAAGCAAATCCAACCCAGTGCTCCTCCCATCCTGCCTTTTTATACGGGACTCACATTCTCACCTGAACTCCCCGGGGCCTCCCTCCTTCTGGGTGGTGTCCATCTTGGAATATAATCCCAGAGCCTCTCTTGCATCCCAGGGATATCAAGAAATCTGTTTTCCTTTTCCTGACCTCAAGCGCTGCCTATAGTCTCTGACCACCCTACGAATCCCACGGTTTGGGAACCAGGCCTCCGGGGCCTGTGTGCAAGTGCCTCAGTTTCCCCACTAGAGCTCGGGTTGGGCAGTTCGGGCTGCCTTCGTGGCTCCCCAGAAGTGCTGAGCCAACAAGGCAGGCGTCGGGCCGGCCCCCGGAGACGTCACGGACCTGCAAAAGCCCGAGCTCAGCAACAGCACACAAAGGCTCCTCAGTTGTGGCCGACAAACCTGCTCCCCAGGGCCCTGCCTGCCTGCCCTGCCCGCCATGGGGCTA